TGAAGTTCTACCTCAACCGCCATACTCTTCCTTTCGCCAATCGACTATCACCCTTTCTAACATTTTGTGAACTCCCTTGCTGGAAAATACTTCATCAATCAGGACCAGGCAAAAAGCCTTCGTGGATTTCGTGAATTTTCGACCACCCAGTTTTTTACTTTGATGGGATTTCTCGACTGCTGTCACATTGGCAAAAGTGTGCTGATTCGAATGGTGCCTATTTCGATTAAATCCGATGAGTATTAAAAAAGTTACGATCGTTTAAAGTGAAACACCCAAAACGCTGAGAACTTTCCGGACAACCTAATAGTAGCAGCGGTGCTGTATAATCGGAAAATGGCGAAAAACGAAGGCAAAAACCTGCAAAAAAGTCCTTTCGTTTGCACGGCATTGGACGAGCATTTTTGGGCGAGTTTCCCGTTAGCCTTGTGCTAACAAATGCTTTGATAGCTGCGGCTACACATATGTATTCATCTATCCATATAGCGACGCTTTATATCATTACCAGTCGGCTCACCCGGCTGCCGCTGGGTGCTCCTCCTTCTGTTTCCCGGCACTCTTCCCTTCCCCCCTCTCTCGACAGCATTGCATGCATCTAAAGCAAACACTTCATTGGACGACCTTGATTCTGTTGCCATCAAAGGAAAGGGTTCACACATGAGCCTCTAATACTCGGCATTATAGCGGTAAGAAGTGATAAAAATGTAGCGCAGATGGTATCTTATCTGTTTTTATCGATTGATAAGATTACCTGTCACCCGTCATCAATGTCCTCATCACTAAATCTCTGTGATTTGGTAGCGTGAACCACCTTGAACAGCGACGACGACTGCAATTTCTCTTATCAGCCCCTATCAGTAGTTATCGCCTCCAGTCACCCACCAAATATGGGTGGATTGATGTCCCCATCTCACCCTCTATATCACTTGCTGAAACGCATGCACCGCTGATGCTGTGACCTGCGCTATGAACACGATGACCTCACCTTTCTAATGCCCCTTATCGAATCTTATCAGCAGCTTACAGTTCTTGTCACCCACCAATAATGTTCTTGGCCCATACCCTATATCATATCTTGGAATCAAGAGCTAGCTGATGCTGTCACCCGCGTTATGAATATGGTGACCTTCTCCTTCTAACGCCCCTTATCGAATCTTATCAGCAGCTTACAGTTTTTGTGACCCACCACTAGTGATGTTCTTGGCCCATACTCTTTATCATATCTTGAAGTGTTTCCGCCACACACCCTACACCACTCCTTGGAACCAATGTCTCACTGCTACTGGGACCGGCGCTATGAATTTCGTGACAAACAGACGCACACACACATACACGCACGGACATAGCGGACATACAAAGTAGGATATTAGGTTGTCCGGAAAGTTCTCATCGTTTCGAGTTTCTCTAAACGATCATAACTTTCTTAATACTCATCGGATTCAATCGAAATAAGCACCGTTCGAATCAGCACACTTTTGCCAATGTGACACCAGTCGATAAATCCCATCAAAAAAAAACTGGGTGGTCGAGAATCCACGAAATCCACGAAGGCTTTTTTGCCTGGTCCTGATTGATGAAGTATTTTCCAGCAAGGAAGTTCTGAAAATGTTTGAAAAGGTGATAGTCGGTTGGTGAAAGGTCTGGAGAATATGGCGGGTGAGGTAGAACTTCAACCCCAATTCGTTCAATTTATGGATAGTGATTTGTGAAACGTGTGGGCGGGCGTTGTCATGCAAAAGAATCGGACCCTTTCTTTTGATAAGTGTTGGCTGCATCTGACAAAATTTTCGGTACAATTCGTCGATTTCTTCACAGTAGGGTTCTGCTGTGATGGTTTGGCCTGGTGATAAAAAGTTATAGTGGATCACACCAGCCGTGACCAGAATCTTTTTTTCGTGAGGGTTCGGCTTTGAAAATTACCTCGGTGGTTCGTCGAATCCAACCACTGTCCGGAACGTCTCCTGTCTGTCGGAACGTCTCCTGTTATCATACATGATCCATTTTTCATCACAGGTGACAATTCGGTTCAAAAACGGGTCGTTTCTGTTGCGCAAAAGCAGTGAAGAAGAAACCTCGAGACGTGCCAATTTCTGCCGGTCACTCAAATTGTGGGGCACCCACTTGTCGAGTTTTTTCACCTTCCCAATGCGTTTCAGACCATCCGCAACAGTGGATTTGCCAACGCCTAGCTTTTCTGCAATCTCTCGAACTGTTTGGGATGGGTCAGCCTCCACAAACGCCTTCAAATCCTCGTCAGGTATTGCTTTAGGTCGACCGCTACGAGGTTCACCTTCAAGGCTGAAATCTCCAGAACGAAATTTGTCGAACCATTGTCGCACGGTGCTTTCTCCAACACTATTGGGCCCCACACCTGGTTAATTTGTCGAGCTGTCTCGACTGCGGATTGACCCAATTTGTAGTTGAAGAAAAATATCGTCCGAAGTTGCTCTTTTGACATGCTTCAAAAAGTCTTGGGAAAAGGGGGTTTATCAAGCAATGGTGAAACGGCAATTATACCATCAGATAGCAAAAATTCTCTTCAGGATGTACTACTGAGACGCAAGGGAGAATGAGTTTTTAATCAGCAATGAATGTACAAAAAATAGTAACACAAAACGCTGAGAACTTTCCGGACAACCTAATACTTCATAAATGGAGCGATAAGAGTTCCAGCGTCGATGTGACTGTCCGGCCACTGGTGGGCAGGAGGTAGCGTTGGGCGTCTGGTTGGGCATGTGGCACCTTGACCAGGCGCTAGAACAGTGTCCTTGATTGGTTATGGCGTCACACAGCGTCAGCAAAACACCACGATATTCTTTAATGCTAGGCGTATCGACTCTGTAGGCCTTGTCGATTCATCAGGATTCATCAGGCCAACTGCCTTTGATTAGAAGTGGCCGTTTCTGTGAAGTTTATAGTGGAAGATAGAGCATCCATCACTCAATTGATTACGTGCATTCTTATCGGTTTGTGGTTTCTTATCGGGTGAAGTCGCGTTTTCAGTAAAACAAGTTCCATACTTTGAGGCCATAGTTCTTGGAAAAAGGGTCACCTGAAGCAATCACTTATTTGTCCTTATCTATCGTATCTGCTCTTTACTATGCGTTTAGGTCCTTTCTTTCTCCGAACCTTTCTCTCTTTCAGGTTAAAGCTGCTGACTCGAAAGTCGTGTGTGCGAGAATCCCCTGCACGACTTCTTGGACTTTCAACAGCACTCGCCAATGCTGGAGACGTCGCCGAATGGCTAGGAATTAGAGATGTCAGTATTGAAACAAAATCTTTCTGACAGGCTTAAATTGTGGCAATTGTTCTGCTCTGACCTGAAAAGCTATTCTAGGAAGGGCTATTCAACTTCCGACCGTCAGTTCGACCTGTACCAATTGACGTGCATATCCAAGGCTTTCCTGGTCAACATTACTGTCCCAGAATGGCACTCATGAATAAACCAGCTTTTAAAGGTAGGACTGATTGAACCAGCGCTGACAATTTACGGACTCTTTAACTGTCTTATAAATGTGATTCGTGCTCATAAGATATGAAGCATCGTCTTCCTCGCTCTTTAGTGCAATTTCCGAAGCACTGGAAAATTACGTTCGTTTTATAGCAGGTTCTGAGCGCAGCATTTTCTCCTCCGTTAGTACGGACAATGGTGATCGTAGAGAAGTATGAGTGCCCATGATTACCCTCGAAAATTGAACGCTGTCAACTAAAAATTGACCACATATTATAAGCAATCACTTTCAGCCAGGGCACGCCATCGCGTTGTGATCATTTCCTGAAAAATACGACCCCCCCCCTAATTCCATCCTCAAGTACGACCCCCCTCCCCATGCTACCTACCACTTTCCTAGATTTTCCCAACTTCCTATCACTTTTTCCATTTTCGGAAAAATTTCCAGTTTTTCAGTCAAAAATTTTCCGTCGAGGGGGGATATACCCACTATGTGAAACAAGGAGATTTCCCAGATTTCCCCTGACCTCCTACCACTTTTTTCGAAATTCCCGGTTCCCGAAAAATTTATGGTTTTTCCCCAAAACAGTCCCTCTCCCAACAACGACCAAGTACGATTCCCCTCCCACGCGGTCTATGACCCGCCCCCGTTATGATCACCACAACGATGGCATGCCCTGCTTCCAGCGTCCCTCCAGATGCAGACCAATTAAGGGTATAAGTCACACAGTCCTATGCTTGGTCCTCTCACTGATAGAGCTACTGCTAGTTCAACCATGCTTTCTTTATTGAAACTTTAAGGCACATAATGATCTTAGCCTTGCAGCTATCATCACCTATTCTCCGTTGAAGCCTGTTCTCGTTTTTGTGGCATCCAGGAGACAGACGCGCTTAACAGCCATGGCATTCATAAGTCATCTGGTAGCTGAAAGTGACCCTCGTCAATGGCTTCACGTTGATATGGCTGAGGTTTGTGTAAATTTTTTGATGCACATCACCCGTGTTTGGAGTAATATTGCAAATTCCAGCTAGAAGTGTTGTTAGAACATGTGAAAGACGAAAATCTCAAACTTACATTGCCATTTGGAATAGGTATGCACCATGCTGGTCTCTCAGCACACGAAAGAGCTATAGTTGAACAGGTAATGCTCGTGCCTGTTTCTTATTCGCGAAGTTCGGCTTGGTGGAGGCACATTGCTGGTTCCTTTCGATCACTGCCGATGAATGCTTTGAATACCTAGAAATTCCTATGCGAGGCAGCAGTGTGAACTTGGTTTACACTTGACGAAAGTCTACGGGTGTCACTAGGGTGCGACGTGTAATTTCACAGGAACTGACAGGAGAAATTAGCGAAAGTGCAAGATGCCCCTCCTTGAGCCGTCAGTTCTTCTGAAAGCTCCTCAGATAACACCATGTTACAATTTTCAGCTTTTCCTAGAGAAGAAGATCCAGGTTTTGATCGCCACGGCCACCTTGGCGTGGGGTATTAATATGCCGGCACACTTGGTAATTGTGAAAGGAACCGAGTATTTCGATGGTAAAACATCCAAATATGTGGACTACCCTGTTACCGGTCAGTTCTTTTACGGCCAACTCTCTAAAGCTTTAGTAACAGTAGTCGCTCCAGATGTGCTGCAAATGATGGGCCGTGCAGGTAGACCACAGTTTGATTCAAGTGCAGTGGCGGTGATATATGTGCAAGACATAAAGAAAACGTTCTATAAACGATTCCTTTATGAACCATTTCCTGTTGAGTCAAGGTGAGTGAGCATTTATTCGTTGAGAAACAGTTGTGTTAATTCTTTTCTTGCAGCCTTCTTCCTGTTCTTGCTAACCATGTCAATGCTGAAATCAATGCCGGGACTATCACCAGTAAACAGGGCATAATGGAATACATAGCTGGTACCTACTTGTATAGACGGCTGTTTGCCAATCCAAAGTAAGTTGCTTTTTCGAATAAACTGGAACATGTAAGACACTTCTCGTCTGCGAGAAACTTACGCTAGTTTAATGTCTTCTTTTGTGCGCCAAAAAGTTGTTAGGTCGAATTGTTTGTTAATGGCTTGACGTTCCAACTGGGTCGTCTTCATCAATGATCTAAATATGGTTCATAGCTCAGAAATTGCCTCTCCAAACCGCCAAGCGCCTCCTTTGCTTGGTATTTTGGTAGATTATTAGGAAAGCAGCCAAAATTCTGAATAAAAGGAAAAGCCTACCCGTTCCACCGCCGCGTGAGCAGAAAGCAGCAGCTCTATTAGCCAGTCCTCACCACAGCTGCTATTTAAGCACGGAAGTCCCACGCTTTGTACTAACGACCGGCAGAGTGACCGGCTTTTGCTTCTGCACTGGTGTAATTCAGTGCCTGCCGTTCAGAGATAGACTGTAAACTCACCTCCCTGGATGCTAGATGAATAGGTCCGCTGCCGCAGTAGCAGTCTAATTTCTTCGCCCGAAAGTGCACGGGAACGCGATTGGTCGGTGGGAGTGATGCCCTGTGTCGCCTCCATACTCCACAGATGTGCTACATGGCCAGGTGCACGCCTCACTGTGGCCAAATGTGCTTCTTGTCTGCGTCCTCTCACTTCTATTGGTTTTCCACCCATTAGTGCGTGTTTCGCTGCGGGACTTTGGTATCGACGCAAATGCTGCAGACTGAGGTAGCGCGGGCGCAGTATAGGTACGACACCCGGGCATCATTACCCTCCATCCTGCTCCCGCGCACTTTTGAGCGGGGATAGTGGCACACTACTGCAGCTGCGGACCCATTCACTTTGTCCAGGAAAAAAAGAGACCGCGATCGGAAGTGAGGAGTACAGTTTGTCTTTATATGCTATGGAAATCACGGAATCTTCGTTGTAAGAGCATGGACCGACGGAGATGAACGCACATTCAGTGCTGACAGCAGTTTTTGGGACCTTTATCTGTGCGAAATAGCCTTTCTTCCGTATGGAGGAGTAACCTTTAGTTGCATAAGCTTATTTATTGTTGTGTGCGGGAATCCTCCCGAGATCTTGCGTGTCGGCACGGTCACCGCCACTTATTTTATAACACGTTGATTTGTTATGTCACATAATAACTTATTACAGCTACTATGGCCTCGAAAATCTCTCGGAAGAGTCGCTAATTGCATTCTTGGTTGGGGTAGTCGATGGGTGTGTTGCCGATCTGCTGGATTCAAAGTGCCTTATTATAGACGAGGTATCTGTCATTCTTTCAGGATACTTCTCGAATGATTTTCCTTGAAGCGATATCTCTATCTGCTGATTTCTTTTCACTTTTCAGGAGACAGGGTGCCTACGTTCTTCGCCATATGGTCGCATTGCTAGTGTTTACTATCTTCGCCATGAAACCATAAAGTTTCTTTTGGAAGAACTTGGCCCCGATGATACCATCGAAGATCTGCTCAAGACTCTATCCGTAAGAAACTGCTTATTATAACTTAGAACCCCTGCTTTCAAGGATGAAATCCACACTGAAATCCCCACCCATCTGTAGGCTACCTCTTCGACTTCGTCTCTGCGATTCACGGAAGAAGTTTCTGGTGTTTCATGTCGTTAAATTATCAGCAGTTTCATTATAAATTAATTTCACATATTCTCTTTACTACTTTAAAAATTTTCGATGGAATGGAGTCATTGACTTAGAATCAGTAAGGCGGGCTTAGGTAGCAGCAGCTCTATAGTTGCCTAGAACTTTTTTCTCATGCGACAACCCCGGGATTTGTGCTCCAAAGAGTGGGCTGTGTTTCCTCTTTGCGTTCAGTTGTACTCATTAATTGGTGCTGATTGTTAGGTTCATCTTTCAGCACGTTCCTGAATACAGCGAAATACCAGTTCGGCACAATGAGGACGTAGTAAATACGTGAGTCGCGTGTTTTGACTGAAATTAAGAATTTGGCGTTACTTTCTTTTTCTTCAGCCAGCTACAGCGTAAACTGCGGATAAGATTTGCTACAAGTGTTATGGACTCTTCTCACACGAAAGCGCATCTTTTGTTCCAAGTGAGTCCTTGTCTTCTGAAGCGCATTCCTCAAGGAGGTTGACTGCACAGGTTTGTCAGAATGCGGTGTTGCGGTTGGGTCACTGCTGAGAGGGGTAGAGCATGAAGAAAAGATACAGAGCACCCACGAACTACGCCAAACCCCGCCAACAGCGGACGGATTTGTGCTGAAAGTGGGTGGTGTTGCTTCCAAAGTACATAATTCGGTGCCAAAGAGGTGCGAAAAACTGGATGTGGCTGACTACGATATGAAGAGACAGCCAAAGCGAGAAAAAGGCGTACTCGAAACGGGAGGGCTCACCACCAACTTCCATAACTCAGTCCCGGGAAAGTTTAAGGATCAAAAAAATCGTTGGAGAAGAGGAACCTTTGGCGAGAGATGATCGTATCAGTGTTGTGTTGGGGCTCTACCGCAGTGGGCGGAGCGTGCGCCGAGATGGGGAGACGAGCTCAAAAATTCTGTTGTCGGTTCAGAACACCAAATACCACAGGTAAAATGGTGCACAGGGAGAGGGATGAAATGCGGCGACGCCGCACAGTGGGCAGAGTTCTACCGAAAAGTTGTAAGACAGCTATTAACGCAGTAAAGACTTGCCAATAATTTAACAAGTCCTTGTACGTAGATGCCGTCCTGTGCTGTCTCAGTTTTCACACTTTCATTTTGCCGGTTTTTCATAAAGCAACTTAATTGGAGCTTATAGGCACATTTCTCTCGTACAGACGTTCCAACTGATTACCGTACGGATATGAAGAGTGTTTTAGATCAATGTGTGCGCATACTACAGGTCTCATTTTCATTTGCAGTTAATTAACTTGTCTTTGTGGGCGGCATCACCAGTGCTCCATAAGGCGCGTGATGACATCATGATTCTTACAGTTCTGAACTACTTATCTTATTTCAGGCTATGCGTGACGTATGTCAGTTGAACGGTTGGCTATCGACTGCGTTGAGAATAACAATACTGCAACAGATGTGTCACACTGGACGATGGCATGATGATCACCCCTTACTGTGCTTGCCACATCTGAAAATCTACGATGCTGAGAGGATAGGGTAACATCTTTCTCATGATACCATGACTCGTTCATTGATACGATTCGCTTTTCGCTCTTAGTTCTGAATATTGGTATGGAGAAGTCGACTTCTCCAAAAGTCCCAGCCAAAATACTGTCGTCATCATTCGGCTACCCGCGTTCAAAAATGATAAGTTATGCGGTTCAGATAGTAATAACAAGGTAGCAAGTGATTCAGCAGTGAAGAGAAAGCAGGAAAAAAGTCATGGGAGATGCCCTGCATAGAACCTCTAGTCCAGCTGGGGTTGTACGTGCATAAGGCGAAGAAAGGGTGTGTCGGACGAGTTCTCACTGTCGTGCCAACTCTTTCTCCTTATCACCTCACTCTCACCATTCGAAGTGGAGAGAGTTAGTAGCGGAACAACGCAATCAGGCAACACTTAAAAATGAACGTTGGGCGTTGTGGCAGCCAGGTGGGCGGTCAGCCTCTTCACGAATGAGCGGCGCTTACCTCTCGAATTTTCGAGCTACGGAATTGATACAACCTCCATCCTTGTAGCAATTGGCTACGATATCCAAAGAAGGCGTGGGGGTCCGATTGAACGCAGGCTCTGCCTCCTGTTAGAGATCCAGTATCATACAGATCATGAAACAGTGGTATACGGTTTATCCTAAACACCTTTCAAATAGATTGCAGGGTCGCACTGAATTTCGCCGTCTCAATGGCCCGCCCATAGCACGCTAGCGTGGCGCCCGCTATTTGGCTTGCCGGCCATCCTGCTCATCCATTACATCTGCACTAGTGAACAAAAATTAACAAATCACCACGGAAAGTGCCCTGAATAAAGACCTTCTTGGCAGTTTCATTGTACAAATTTTTCGAAATTGCTGTTCATAGCAAATCGATATCCTGCCGCCTCTGCGTATCTCCTGATTCAGAAATCTTTTCTTCCCTTCATTCGGTTTTAAATACCAGTTACCACACAAAAAACGGAAATAATGGCATAGGAGCGAAGCTCATCGTAGAGAACAGCTTTCAAAGACCCCTTATACAGCACTGGGGTCACGGTTAACCAACAAACTATTGCACCGAAGCAGCTGCATCATTGGTCAGTTGAGGTGGTGCAGAAGTGCATCCTTCTCCGCGAACTGAATTACTTATGGTTGCATGTGCTTCTTCTCAAAAGGCATTCAAAGAAAGTAGGATTTCTTTTGAGCACGAAAGCTGTCAGCCAAAGTATTTGTATGAGGCATAAAATCGCCCTGCGACGAGTGAGTAAATGGTACACTCTGTGACCACCGACCTGACCACCAAATGAGCAGAGGCAGTGCAGGGTATGTGAAAAGGCAATCATACCGCGTTGTGGCAGCTCGGTGGGCGGAGCGATATCCGCTTCACGAGCGAGCGGCACGGTATAGGCGGGAGACGATCTGTTCTGCCCGCCCCTTCAAATTTGACGGGTGAAGAGACGGGAAAGAACTATATCACTCCTATGAAGTCTTGTCTCCGTTTGAATTCTTGCGACTTTTTCTGCTCCGATCGGCAAACCTGCACATTGAGAATTTACGCTCACGGCCGCACGATGCGCAAGAAAATTACGATTGTGTTGTTCATCTCTCTATTCCACGTATCACACTCATTCGCGAGTCTTTGTCACTCACCATCAGTCACTGCTCCTTGGTTTGAGTCCATCACATCTGAGCTCACAGCCTCCTTTGGTGTCCGTGAAAATCCTCGTCACGCTCGAAACGAGCGCAAAGATTGAATCCTCTTTTCTCGACTTTCTTTTTTTTCATACGACCTATCTAGTCTTCGATTGAATATAGCATCGTTTTCAATTTCTTATCTCAGAAAGATATTTTGAAGGGAGCGATCTACAATACCGTTACTACAACATCAGTTTGGGGTCGAAAACGCACATGGCACCGATGATGTGGAAAAACAGGCGAAGAAAACACTGTTCGACAATACAACACTGGAAGAGACTGAGATCAAGGAGGTGTGTATTCTACAGTACATTTCCCAGGGTCGAATTTCCAATGAAAACTGCTGGAAAGTAGGGCCGAAAACTAGCGATACCCGGATGCAATTTTCCCAATCTGCCTGAATTATCTGAAGGTGCAGCTTTCGCGTCAATACCGATATCACGCAGCGGCACGATCCCAGTGAGAATGAACAATCGGAAAGTGAGAAGCGCAGACAGGTAGCACATTTAGCTGTGGTAGGCATGTGCCTGGCCATGCGCTAGTGCGGGCGGAGTTGGGAGACTTCACTCGGGAATCACTCCCACCCTTCAGCCGGGTCGCCCATGCAGTTCTGAGCGGAGAAATGGGTACGTACTGCACGTGCGGACCTTTTCACCACATACGCGGCAAAGATCAGGAGCACGGAAGTGGGTGTACAGTTTGTCTTCTACTTGTTTCTTAAAGGCTTCTGACATTGCTTATGTGTACTCACTTAGAGATTCGCAGTTTGCATTTTGTTTCTCAACTCTTGCAGGTAGTCCGAGCATTATGCCGGTGGCCTATTCTCTCCATATACGGACTTCGTTTGTCAAGGAATGCAAAAGAGCTTCGTGTTGATGACGAATGGTTGCAGTTGGAACATAATGCAAGCTACAAGCTGCAATTCCACTTGGATTTGCTTGGACCAGGTCGAGTGAGTGGTACATTGTCAATCCTTCCAGTTCTCTTCGCACGCGAATGACAAAAGCGCCCAGTTAAACAATAAATCAACAGATGAAACAGCTGATAAGAATAAACCGTCAAAAACTTCAAAACGAAGGAAATTTAAATGTTGTGCTGACGAGGACTTGACAGCGAAATGCGACTCAGCAATATTCGTTCAAGAGAGCTCGTGATGCAAAAACAGCGGCAGCAGCAGTTCAGCTTATTGTGCTCGTTTTGATCTTTTGATTAGCCCTCCTGCGCATTTTATTCGAAATTATTATTCGACTTTTTCATTAAGTTTAATTAGCGAAAGAGAAAAGGTTTTGACAAAACCTACGGATAAATCTTCAAGAAATGGATAATCAGTTGAAGTGGCCTTCTTGAACTAAGATATACGCCGCTGATGTTCCTTCGGGCGATGATTAAGAATTCGTCTTCCAAATCTGCTGCGATTCTTCTTGAGCAAAGTTACGGAGGTTTTTTTTGCGGAAGCATACCAGCACTCAGTGCAAATCTCAGGCCTAGGCAGGCCACTCTTTTTTCACCTTCGCCAATGACGCCATCCTAGGCCCTCTACAGCTGATGGGTCTGAACTGGCTGCCCTCCAAGCCATGCCCCGTCAGACGCCCTATCTTTTGCAGGGATAGTGACTATATTCGTTGCGCTTGGCCTCAAATCGCATTTTTAATTTTGCGGACTTTGTCTCGTATTCGAAGCAAATTTCTGAGTGTGGGTATGCTCCCTCACCCCTCCTCCTCCCCAAGAATTTCCAGAGTCAGGTCTTTTGAAGCTTTTGTAGCTCGCGGTATTTGTCGGTAACATTAGTAAGAACAAAAAGTCGTGGTTTCTCATCACCGACATACAGCGTGAGCTAGGCATCCCACGATGGGACCTTTGACCTTTGAAGAAGACGAGAAGGTCGAAACGATAGGGCAATAAAAAGTTTCATCCAACAGCCTCGTTCGGCAGAAGTAATTAAACAATACACATTATGCCGAGGTTGCAATAAAGGACAACATGGAGGTCTTTGAAAACGCCCACAACTTTGTCCAGAGAGGTTCACAGCAGGTGTGGAAAACGAGTCCCCATATTACCGTCTAAACATCCATCAGGTGGCATAACTAGCTGCTTGTGAAGGTATTTGGAAACTATATACGGAGGCAGGTGAAGACGAATTTGAGGACAAACTGTACATGCACCTCTGTGGATGTGGTCCTGCGCTGAATGGGTCCTCTCCTGCAGTTGTGTGCTAGATTCACCACTTAAAAAAGCGCAGAAACAGGGCTGAATTAGGGTAACCTGGGTGCCGTCATGACAGTCCTGTCGCGGGAACTACCTCGACAGCAGAAATGTCCATCACTGAACGCGAGAAGAAGTGTGCTTTTGCTCTCACCACCACCACCACCACCACCACCATCACCCTTCTCCAGGTGCTAACCTCATGGGTTTTTTGGTTATAGATTGAAGAAATATTGAAGAAACATTGTCAAGTTGGAGGTCTTTTTCTAGTTTATAATATATTAAGCATATGTAAGTTTGGAGGCGAAGGTTGTAGTGGCAAGCTGCACGCTTGCCACGCGCACAGTGAAGGGATCAAATCCTGGATCGGCTCCCGCACAGGCCAACTAAGCCTTCTACCCTCCGTGGACGGTTAATTGGTATCAGATTCGTTGGGAGTAAGTAGAACGTGCGTGTCGCATCTCTCAAGGAATTGATCAATGGCGAAGACTTGTGGACTTTATGTAAGTAACCTATGCAAAAAGAGCTAGTTTTTTGGTCACAATGACACACTGTGTTAATCAGCAATCTCGAAGGAGCTAGCTCGGCCACTATTATGAGCTCCTCAGCTCGGTACTTGTATGCTTAATATATGTAGTTGTATATAACTTTGACAAATAGTGAAAATTTCCTCAATTTCCCTCGCACATAAATTAGGTTTGGCGAATCCATGCAGTGCTTTCAGTTCAATACTGGGGCCTACCTGACGCAATGGTCTAAAGAGAAAACAGCTGGCTGGATTGTCATTTTGGGAGAAAAGGACAATGACCGGATGATATCACTGTGTCATGTGAGCGTCGCTGAAAGTGATCGTGCTGTCCGAATGGACTTTGTTACCCCAGACAAGAGGTATTTGTGTAGTTCTTTATTCCGTGTCGATTTTCGCCTCCTAATCATCCCCTGTTTTCAGAGGAAGATGTTACCTGAGCGTCTTCATCATGTCCGATTGTTATCTAGGAATCGATCAAGAGCTACAAATCAAAGCTGATTTGATTTAATTCACTTTGTTACCTCTGCGACTGCGACTTTCTCAATTTTTTTTCTTCAATCGCCTTCCTTTTGTGATGTAATTAACTTTATTTTCTTAGAAGATTTAATTTTTCAAATAATTGACGGTGGCGGGCTCTGCAAATCTAGTTTCATTTCATCTGTGATTTCTACATGTTTGACAGGTGTTGTTGAATTTGAACTCTGTTGTTGACGACCATTTTAGACAGCTATTTATAAAATTGAAAATATAACAGCGTGAGTAGCTCACTGCACTGCAGGAAGCGGAGTACATCAGTCCGATTGAAGTGATCCTTCGGAAAGGGTAACTTCTTGGTTCATTAACCAGTCAAAGGTTTACCGTATAGCTGCTGTAGGTCAGTTCATAGGATTAAATGTTGGACTTTAGAGGCAGCGCCTGCGTTCAATTTGATGAGTTATGGGGCTCAGACAGTGATAACAAAGTGGCAAGTAGTTCGTTAGTGAAGAAAAATGCAAAAAAACTCATTGGATATGCCCTATATAGGACCCCACGCCGAGCTGAGGTTGTACGTGCTTGAGGCGAAGAGAAGGCGCGGTCGCACGAGTTCTCACTTGTTGGTATCAGCTGTTTTCCCTTATCACCTCACTCTCACCATTCGAAGTGGAGAGTTAGTAGCGGAACAACCGCACCATCAGGCAACCATTAGAAATGAAGTTGGGCGTAGTGGTCGCCAGGTGGGCGGGGTGGCTCTTCACGAGCGGGCGCCGCTATTCTCTCGCACTTTTGAGTTGCGAAACTAGTACGTATACTATCCTCATAAGGTGAGCTACGATATCCAAAGAGGGTGGAAACAACAAATGAACATCTCTCTCTGTGGAAAACGACTACAGACTTGTCGCGGACGCCGGGGCGTTTCTGGGGCCTCCCAGAACTGGCGGAAAAAAGGCTGGCGCCGCGCGCCAAGCCCAACCCCTTCCTCCGCCCCTGAAATGCCCCGGCGACCACATAGAACAAGATTGTAGTCGTTTTCATTGGCTCAAAAAAACTGAATTTTCATATTTATTTCAATTTTATCAAATTCTCCAAACTTCAGCTGTACGCGATATTCCTAACTGAACCAGTTTCGATCAAATAACATGTGGTCTTCATAGCCAATCAACTACTCAAATAAAATCCATCCAGCCAATCACAGTCATTCAACAATCTAGAACACATTTTAATATAGAATTTATCAAATATAGTTATTTTTCTTGAATATTATATACTAAATATTACTAATATTACATACACAACCTAACAAAATCAAATATACATGAGCTTTTTGATACAACTCTTCTGCAATGCAAAGAGCCTTGGACTTATTATCACTGAAGAAGGAAGTGTGTTCACAGAGTTGTGTTGGGCACAGTTCGCCTTGGGAGGGGGGGGGAGGCATTTTGCACTTTCGCTATTTCCCGTCGTGTTCGTTGCTTTACAAGAGTTCACTGGTATATTTCTCTGTTTAATGGCTTGACATGACAATGGGAAGTGGAGCTGGAGCAAATACCCCTCCCAAGCCGAACTGCGCCTTCTTTTGTGATTCACTACAACAACAAAACTTGAAACTCGATAGTAATGAGCTCGTATCACTATAGTTTGAAGGCGAAGCGGTCAACACCACGTATACAAAACTTGTAATTCGACTCCTTAGCTTCGACGAATCATCACTTCGCTACCCACAAAACGACCTCGCACGCGTATTCCACGATGACTGCATGGGCGGAGTTGCTTGGATCAGCGCGCTCTCATTGGCTGCTTCATTGATGCACCAATGAGAAGAACGCAATGCCCGAGTGATTCCGTCCATACGACTAGCGCAAAATGCGCCGTCGGTCGTGACTCATGGCAACAAATATGATTCGGTAGCGCTCCTGAGTTGACGGAAAAGCCCTGTAGGACAAACTTTCACACTCATAACTTCTTAATTTGTTGATAATTTGTTCTGGATCTTACTGTATCGGATAGCGCTTGATTCAGGGAATCGTTTCGTGTCCTAGTCTCCCGTAGCTAACAGCTTAAGCTCTTACGGGGTCAGCTTCTGACAAAACCTCATATTTTTTTTTGTTTTTGCGAGGCAGTTCGACTTGGTGGGGGGCACCGAATGGTGCACACCAAGTCGAACTGCCTCGACAAAACAAAAAAAAAACCAGGCTGCCAGGCTTGTACAAAGCACCTTCTGAAGACCAGCGAATTCCTCTGGCCCAACGTGGCTCATTCAAACAATTTCGCAACTTCACGGGAGTTCACAGGTGTGACCACAACGGGACCCTAGCGGAAGTGCAAAATGTCCCCTCCAAGCCGAACAGCGCTGTTTTTTTCACTATATTTATATAGTTTCAAATAAAACCCTAAAAAACGAAAGTTTAACACGCCAAGCGAATCCCGCGCTATCCGATGACGACAAAATCCTTCATAATTAGCCAGAAATAAAGGAGTTACGGACTTGAAATTGGACCTGCACGATCTTTTCGACCAACCCAACAGCACTGAGTGGAAGCTTTGTAATTCAATACGCTAAGAATTTGAAAATATCCTAACATGAAATAATTCCTAATCACTAGATGGATCACTGTAGATTTTCTATGATTTTTGTAAAGAATTTCGTGGCGCCAGCCTACCAGACAATATCGTAACAAATCCAAGAAATAAATTTTTAAGAGGAAAAAAATAAAATTTCAGAGAAAATATTCATATGTTGCAACAAGAGCTAGAAAAGCTAATGGCCTCTTCTCCCAAGTTTCTGAGGGTATAAACCGCGTGCGGTCGCGACGCGGCATAGGTGAGGAAACCTGCTCTGGGTTGCACCTTCGAACTAAACTAGGGAGAAAGAGCTATATCGGCTCTTCCAGCTCTCAAATATACCCATATAAAGACGCTAGAATCTTTAGAAATCAAAACATAAAAGAGGAAATTATCGAAGAAACAAACAATATCATGAGGTGTAAGTTGAGAGCATTTGTTTCTCCAATTCTTTGACAGTTGCCAGGAATTGCTTGAATAATGGGTGATTCCTATTCGCATCAGGTGAGATCATCAGATTTGTGGTGAATGGCTCTGGTTCCCGTTCGTTGCGAGTTCCTGGAAATCCAACAATTAATTGGTAAAATCGAGGAAAATAAAGCAATTCAGCAGTAAAGTTGTCATAATAAGAACTACAGGCCTTGATGGCCACAATGTGCTTGTAGGCGGTCACGGCCAAACATGGAGGTCCACGCTTGTCATGTGGGCGGAGACAGCTAGCAAGCACGCCCTCCTCATTAACACACTATCCTCTTCATCCAATAGAAGGGGCCCATCACGGAAGAACGAACAATTGTTAGATGTCTCCCCAACTACACACGATCGGGCAACGTAGCATAACCCATCGCAAACGATATCATATCGCGATTATAGGCCGGCAAAGACGGCAATCCACGCAGATCGGGTAGGCGGAGACAGTCAACAACTCCGCCTTTCTTATTGGCGCACAGCTCCCCTTCATTGCACTAGAAGGGGCTCATCAATAAGGAAAGAGTAACGGTTTCGTCGGTGTGAACTGCACCTCTAAAGGGAACTTGGGAAGGAGGCAGAACGATAGACCTGACCCCGCCCATCGGTCCAGAGTGGACCGGACCGTCAATAAGCTAGGCTGGGGTGAGCGATTCTAGGAAGTTTAAAAAAGCCAGCCGCCGGTAAGACTGGTGATCCTATGACAAGTGCCTCGAAGAGCTCTTCGCTTTGGAGTCCCCAAGCCCACATTTACAAAATCGGTCCACCACTCCCTCTTTTTTCCTCAAAAAAGCAAAATCAGGCGGGCAAAGCCGAGTGGGCGCAGTTTGTCGTGTTGAGGGTACCGAATCGTACCCAGCGAGCTTTGAACAGGCCGCCCTGCGAACACTTCCCTTGACTAAAGTGACTAAACTGTACCATTTCGCATCCTCACAGGAGTTTACAGATCTTTCCAAAATAAGAGCTGCCTATTAACGGAACCAACACACTGAACTCGCAAAAATGCTATGCCCCTGTCAAGCCGAACCGCACCGCCATGTACTGCCACACACCTCTGCTGGTGAACCTATGGCGGTGGAAAGAACGTGTCAAGTTACCGGTGCATTTTCTGTCATATTTTCCTCAGACCATAAATAGGACTCCTGAATATTTTCTATTCTGCTACGATAGATCAATCATTCTCACCTGCTATCATAACCATTCCAGGTGTCAGCTTGGACGCTTCCGTGATAGCCGGCTCAGACATGCCTATTGATAACTCGCTCAGCTGACTTGTGGGGCAAACCACGGGCTCCTGAAATTTGCTTTTATCTGTTAACGAAAGGACTAGAAAAAAACAGCCTACAGATGGAGTTTACATTTCTGGAAAAAGCTTGTAAGGGACGTCATAGGATTCCCAGTTGTCATTCACTTCCAGGAAAAAAAGACTTCGGTAAGTTAGAGTTCCAGCAGCGTTGTACCTTGGCCTCTGGAAACCCGTCGTAAATGAAGGTCGCCGGAAAATATTTTGCCTGATGGGAAGACTGCCCAACCCCCTACTGCCTATCAAGTACGACCCCTTTCGGCCAAAGTCCAAACTCATTCACCTTCTACCCATTAATTACCTGTAACACTCCCCGTCCCGCAGAGTCCGTTGACCAAAAACCGTGGTGAGGGTGGAAAACCTCCACGAACTGGTTTTTGAGATGCGCCACGTATTCCACTTCCTCGGAATCGTAGTGGACTACTAGAAACGATAGCGCCTACACCATAATAGTGGGACCTCCTGGGACCAGCAGCTGCACGGATTGGTGTTTTTATCCTCCTAGACAAATCTGGTACCACTCATCCAACCCTCGACAATAGACTGCTTTGTCAGCTCGGA